AAAATGATTGTTTAAAGCCTTTTACTCTTGATAAGAATCTTACTAGACCTGATTTATTTCCCACAGAGGAAAACAGTTCACAAACTGTTCCCTGTTTTCAACAAGGGCAGAAAGCAAAAGAGGCCCCGTCCCAATTGTATTAATTGTCCAATTTTTCCTTTCAGCCTGAGTAAATACAGAATAGAATTAAGAATTAAGAATTAATTTTGTTTTAGCCCCCTTCCCCTTATCCTTCGAAGAAACACAACAATAAAAGTCAAGGTCAGGTCAAAAACCATTGCATGAGCACATATGAAGTTCTTTTGAACTTCAAAGCTCCCTTCTGCTTAAAAAGTAAAGCCAAAACAACCACCTATACCTCATTCATCACACCTCGGACTGGAATTAAGAATGTGCTCTTTGTCAGTGAATTGCCTTGAGTGAAAATGATCCCATGAAAAAAGAAAAATCACGACTTTTAGTCCCACCCAAGATGGGCAGACTCCCAGTGGATCCATTTGCTAGGGAAACACACTAAATTGGAAGTTGAACACACATCTCAGCCTGACGGTGGGACTTACCTGTCCAAAAGAAATGCTCAACTACACACATGAGGTCAGAAAATTTAGCGAGATGACAGGTCTTTCCCTATGGAATAGCTTCATGGTCTTGCAAAGTTGGAAGGGAGACATGGCATTGCTTGGTTATGTATTTTCTGTTTCAGCAGACAAGAATCACAATGCCTGAATAAAGCTGGGGGAATGGTAGGGTGGAGATGACTGAAATGTTTACAATTCATGTGAGGGCTACAACAGATGTGGACTGAAACAAAAGTCAAATACAGTCAAAACCACCTCAGAGCAACAAGGTGGATTCTCACCCAGGAACCACGCCTTGTGGCTGGAACGTGATTGGTCATGTGCCCCACCCCAAGTCACTGTGAAGAACGAAGACTACTGTGGGATCTACATTAAAATAAATGTAGTTGCTTGAAAGCAATCTCTATAACAGCACTGCTCTCACCTGACTGCATTTCTACACATGTCCTTGGATGGGGGAGAAGAGGAAGCTATAGGCAAACCGCAGAGAGAAGTCTGACTACTGAGAATTACCTATAATTTTGGTTAAATATATGGGAGAACTTCCCAAATAAGGATGCAGGGAAAAGCACTAACCTAGGTGTCTAGGAATGAGCTGTCAGTCGGTAGCAAGCTTCCCACCCTATGGAATAACCCTAGAGGGCAAAGCAGGGCAGGGTTATTGTTGGATCCCTTCAGAAGCCTATTTGCTCACTTATCCAGAAGGATGAGTTTCTGGAAGGAAGCAAGTCACCCTGAAGACAACTGTTATAGGTGCTGGTGATGCGGTTCCACCCATTGCCCGCCCCTCCCCAAGTCCTCAGACAAGTGAAAAAGTTACTTGATTCAGACTAGAGCTAAAATTAGTCTCTCACTGGGAAGCCACAGCCAGATTTCCCTTCCATTTAACTTCTGGGAACAGGCTTAGGTCCTTTAGTCTTGATGGAAAACTCAAGTCACCTTAGGTAAAAGAGGTGTGTCTGAGCCCAGAGGAGCTGCCCAAAAGGTAAGCAGGAGTCCCGCCTTCTCTGGGACAAAAGGCAGGAATCAAAAGAAACCCACAGTGGGACTGAAAAAGATACCCGCACCCCCAAGTTTATTGCTGCTTTATTTACAATTGGAAAAACATGGAAACAGCCCAAATGCCCAAAAGTAGATGACTGGATTAAAAAGATGTGGTACATATACACAATGGAATGTTACTCAGCAACCA